GCAGCCGGGGGTTCAGGGCTCACAGTCCCCCCTCATCCAGCCAGTGGCTGTGAGCAAGCAGAGCGCAGAGCAGCTCAGGGCTCAGGAGGTGGACGGGGACCTGAGCTCCTCCCTGCCCAGACACGGTCCACACACAGCTGAGGGGGGCTGGGCTCTCAACTGCACAGAGCCCCAGGGCCGCCAAAAGCCCCCCACCCCGGGAGACACCCTCCCCAGGGCAGCCGCAGCGGCTGACCCGCGGGGGCGTGGACCGGATGGCGCACGGACGGACTTCCCTGAACTCTCCCTGTCCTCAGCCTGGGCTGTAGCTGCAGCCTAGGTGATCTGTTATATTTATTTATTTATTTTTGTCAGTGGTGGGCCTTGAACTCGGGGCCTGGGCACTGTCCCTCAGCTCTTCAGCTCAAGGTGAGCGCTCTACCACTTGAGCCACAGCGCCACTTCCAGTTTTCTGTTGGTTCATGGGAGATCAGAGTCTCATGGACTTTCCTGTCCAGGCTGGCTTTGAACTGCGATCCTCAGATCTCAGCCTCCTGAGGAGCTGGGATGACAGGCGGGAGCCACCGGCACCTGGCTATCTTTTTTTTTTTTTAAACCGTGAGTGGTTTCGGCTGCGCCAGCTATCCCGGAGAACACGCCATGCCACACCTGTGAACACGGGCAAGCACCGCACACAGGCGCGTGCGCACACTCACTGGAAATGAGAGAGGCGTGAACACTGGGAACGCACCGGACAGACCGGAGCCACGCCCGTGAGACTGGTGGGACCGGAGCCCTCAGCCGGTCCTGGCTGGCGGGCACGGAAAGCGCTCCGGTCTCTGAACAACAGTCCCAACAGAAGCTGACTCAGAGCTCACCAAACGACCCAGAGATTCCACCCCGAGGCGCCTGACTGAAAGGAACGCACGCATCCCTCCACAACAGCGGCGACAGAAGCGTGCCCCGGACACTTGAGGGCAGCGATTGACCGAACACCCGTCAGCGAGCAACAAACACGAGCGGGCATCTTCACCCGATGGCCTGAAGACGTGGCGCGGAGGGAGAGGAGCCGGTCACGGAAGGCCACCTTCGTACAGCTCCATGATAGAGACTGCCAGCCCCGGACAGAGGCTACGGACAGGTCAAGTAGATACTGACCGTGGTATGGCACCGGACAAGTTAAATCTCAGCAGAACCTTATAAACGCGATGGTGGTGAGGCAGTCAATCAACCCCCGGCCCCGATGGGCCGTGGCGCAGTCGCATTGCCCTGAGCAGACTGCTGCCCCCTGTGTCCTCTGGAGAAGCCCCCCGCTGGCCCTGGGGGTGGGGGCTGGCGGGGGAGGGCCGGCAGATGGAGAGGCAGGAGAGGCGTGAAGCCTGGAAGACACCTGTGGCACAATGCCCACCATCTTGTTCCAATAGATCGGGGCTGGTCTGCAGAGACCCTTGCTCAGCCCAGCGGCTCCACGCCCAAGCTCTCCTGACAGCATCCCTGACCGAGGAGAGCACAGGCCCATGGGGGCATTTCTGATTTTTTAAATCCATTTAAAGAAATTGTACCTATATATAAAAATGACCATGTTAACTATTTTGTTTGTTTGTCTTGTCGGTCCTGGGTCTTGAACTCTGGGTCTGGGTGCTGTCCCTCAGCTCGTCAGCTCAAGGCAAGCATTCTACCACTTGAGCCACAGCGCCACTTCTGGTTTTCTGGTGGTTTATTGGAGATAAGAGTCTCTCGGACTTTCCTGCTTGGGCTGGCTTTGAACCTCGATCCTCAGATCTCAGCCTCCTGAGTAGCTAGGATGACAGGCGTGAGCCACCGGCGTCCAGCCATGTGAACTACTTTTAAGCGTGCCGTTCAGAGATCTGTAACCATGTGACATGTGACCACTGCCATTATCTGTCGCCCGAAGCTCAGGCCTCACAAGCCCACCGTTCCAACCTCTACCTCTAGTTTTACTCATGACCCCCGGTGATCTTGATGACTGGGATGGCCCCCTGTGTAGGACCGGGCGGGGTTTCTGTGTTGTGACCGGCTTGTTTCACTTGGCCTGGCTTTTCTTGCTTTTCCAGGGGGCTCTTGTAGATCACCCCTAGTTTGTCTGCTCACCCGCCCTGGAAACGTGGGTGCCTCTGGCTGTTGTAAATAACGCCTGTACAGGAGTGGACGCACAGAGGGCTCCCGGTGGAGCGCTTTCGGGCGGACAACCAGAGATGGAATCGCTGGTCCCCCGCGGCCATGCTGTCTCTGACGGCGTGGAGACGCCATCCTGTTTCACGGGGGCGGGACCGTCTCTCTTCCCGCCTCAACCGCGCCAGGCTCCCGGTCTCTCGCCCTCACCACGACTCGTTTTGTGAAAGCTGTTTTTAAGCTGTGGCCTCCCTAGGCGCGGCTGTCTACGGGGCTGGGGGTAACGACTGAGCTGTGGTGGGTGCTCCCTTTCCGTCTCCTGCATCTGCCTTTCTGCAGAAGCCACCTGTGACCAGGGGGTGGAACTGTCACCGAGGCTGGAGGGGCCAAGGACTGGGAGCGACCGCCACGTCCTGAAGCCACCACGGCTGGCCTTTCATGCCACCGAATGCAATTCTGATTTGCTCAGTTCTGGGCGGAAGACATCGCTGAACGCCACAGTCCTGGGGGAGCCGGGCGTCAGCCGGAGGCTCCTGACCCTGAGGCCCTGCGGCTGCCACTGCAGCCGCCTGCGGGGGGAGGGGGACGGGGGGGAGGGGGGCGTCGTCGAGGGAAGGAGCCCCGCGCCGAGCCGCCTACCTGGTGATCTTAAAGATCCTGAGCAGGCGGACGCAGCGCAGCACGGAGATGCCCAGGGGCGACATGATCTTGGTCTCCACCAGGATGGTCTCCAGGATGCCCCCACACACGATGAAGCAGTCGAAGCGGTTGAAGAGCGACACGAAGTAGGCCTGCAGCCCCAGGCTGTACATCTTCAGCAGCATCTCTGCCGTGAACATGGCCAGGAGCGCCTTGTTGGCTGTGTCTGAGGGGAGGGGGAGGAGAGAGCGTGGTCATGGCCGCAGCCGTAGCGGAAGCCCCCTTCCGCCATGTCTGGGGCTCTGTGCCGCACCACGCTCACCCTGCACCTCCGTGAGCCAGTGCGGCTGGTTGTAGTGCTCCGAGGCGATGGTGAGCGTGTTGAGGAAGACCAGGAAGATCACCAGCCAGTAGAAGACGTTGGACTTGACGGCCGCCCGGCACTTCCTTCGGCAGAACCGGTTCCAGCGGCGCCAGTAGCGGCTGCAGGGGACAGAGGGAGAAGGGTGGGTGGCGGGGCGGCCGGTTGGCCGGCGGCGCGGGTTCCTGCCAGCGCGAAGCTCGCGGGGTGGGTGCACGCAGCGGCTAAATCCACACCCGGCCTTTTCTAGAGCATCTCAGGGAGGGCCAACATCAGTGGCCTGTCCACGTGACACACGGGTGCCACGTGACGCCGCTGCACGCACACGCTCCATGCCTGGCTTTCTAGGCCGGGCACGGGCGGCGGTGCTGGCACTCGGGTCTGCCCGGCTCCATCTCGGGAGGGCTTCTGGATTTCTCCTAATGATCTCTGCAAAGCAGGGGTTCTCCTGACTTTATGGAGGAGGGGGAAAAAAACCCAAACCCAAAAATCTAAGGGTTAAAGAGGTGGAACAGCGTGACCAGCGGGGTAGTGTGGGCGGCCCCCGGTCCCTCCGGAGAGCCTGGGCTACGGGGTGTTGGCTTTGATGGGGTCCCAGGGTGTGTTCTGGGCTCTGGTGGGCGAGCACACATCCACACGCACGCACCACAGCGTGCTGAGCCCCGGGATGGGTTCCCACGGTTTGGTCAGAGATGTCATCCGCGAGTCTCAAACGTGGCCATGCACAGAATTGCCCGGGGCTCTAGCAACCTCTCCAGCCAAACCTGACACCAAACCGACTAAATCGGAATGTCCCTGTGCTGCCCGCCCCTTAATACCCCTACTGGGTTTTTTTTCCTTTTTGCCGGTCGTGGGGCCTGAACTCTGGGCCTGGGCGCTGTCCCCCAGCTCTTCAGCTCAAGGCGAGCGCTCTACCACGTGAGCCACAGCACCACTTCTGGTTTTCTAGTGTTTCATTGGCAATAAGAGTCCCGTGGACTTCTGTGCCTGGGCTGGCTTTGAACCTCAAGCCTCAGATCTCAGCCTCCTGTGTAGCCAGGGAGCCGGGCATATGTTCTGATGATGGGGGGGGGGAATCACATCCCAGGCACCAGCCCGGGCAGGAAGAGCAACGTCATCTCAAAGGTAACCCGGTGGGAAAAGGCCGGAGGCCTGGCTCAGCAGCACAGCACCTACACAGCACGCGCAGGGCCCCGCGCGCAAAACCAAGTACTGCAGATGATACACCAGTGAGGAGCATGAACGATGCAGGAAGACCCTCAGGGGTGTGTGTGTGTGTGCGCGCGTGTGCGATTACGATCCAGAGAAAGTATTTAAAGATAATTACATACTTCCCACGCTTCAAAACAGGGCTTCGCGTGACGACGTGTCCCCTGGCAACTGTATGGCAGAAGTAACAGTGTGCAAGGGTGTGTAAATCCGTGTGACGGTGTGCGAGGGTGTGTAAATCCGTGTGACGGTGTGCAAGGGTGTGTAAGTCCGTGTGACGGTGTGCGAGGGTGTGTAAATCATGTGTGACGGTGTGCGAGGGTGTGTAAATCATGTGTGACGGTGTGTGAGGGTGTGTAAATCATGTGTGCTTGTCCACACGATGTGACGGTGTGCGAGGGTGTGTAAATCGTGTGTGCCTGTCCGCACGTGTGACGGTGTGCGAGGGTGTGTAAGTCCATGTGTGCTTGTCGACACGATGTGACAGTGTGCGAGGGTGTGTAAATCGTGTGTGCTTGTCCACACGATGTGACGGTGTGCGAGGGTGTGTAAGTCCATGTGTGCTTGTCCACACGATGTGACGGTGTGCGAGGGTGTGTAAATCGTGTGTGCTTGTCCGCACGACGCGGTGAAGCGGGAGGAGAGGTTCTGTCTGCTGCTCGCGTTCCCCTTGTGTTTCGTGGGGTCCACTCACTCTGGGCGCAGACTCCTCCGAACGTGCTCCAGCCCCTCCCCAGATCCTCAGTTTACCTCTCAGCCTCTGGGCCGCACACGGCACCCTCCCGACCACCACCTTGGGTGCCTCTGTCTTCCAGGTCCTGACCATCAGTGTGAGCCCCAGCTTGTCTGTGATCAACTGTTCCAGTTTATGACTGTTATTTGTTTTTGCGGAGTCAGGACATTCTTATCAGAACACGTGCTCCGGACAGACACTGGATGCTCTAGTTAACGCAGGCTGCGGCTTTTCGATCCATTTCCAGCCTTAGCTGTTACCTAACGATGTGGCCAGGGGCTGTGGGGCGTTGGTTGGGCGGCTGCTGTCAGGGACGGGTCTGTCTGTGGTGCGTGTGTGTGTGCGTGCGTGTGTGTGAGCCGTCGCTCGCCGCGTGTGGCGTGGGGGAACTCCAGCTGGGACCTGCACACTACGCTTTGAAGTCTCCGCACACGAAGAAGCAAAGCCAGCTCTCTCGCTAAACCTACGCCGAGCACCTCGGAGGTGCTGAAGTCACGGTGCTCGAGCCTCGCTCTCCACGCGCAGTGCTAGGACGAGGCCCTCCTGTTTCTTTGTGCTCTAATATTTGGTGCCGATAAACGTGTGTGAGTCAACCCTGACTCGCAGTTCACACAGAACAGCTGTCCGTCTGTCCATTTGCAGAATGCACAGGGGCCGAAGGCAGGACGGACAGGCTCTGAGCTGAGATCCGGCCCGCAGACACAGCACGGTGGAGGGAGCAGACCACTGAGCCACTAACCGGACAGGAAGTGTGTGTGTGTGTGCATGTGCATGTGGTGTGCATGTGTGCGCACTGCGCATGTGGTGTGTGTGCATGTGCATGTGGTGTGTGTGTGGTGTGCGTGTGTGTGCATGTGTGCGCACTGTGCATGTGGTGTGCATGTGTGCGCACTGTGCATGTGGTGTGTGTGTGTGCATATGTGTGGTGTGTGCATGTGCATGTGGTGTGTGTGCATGTGTGTGGTGTGTGCATGTGCATGTGGTGTGTGTGCATGTGTGTGTGCATGTGCGTGTGGTGTGTGTGCACTGTGCGTGTGGTGTGCATGTGTGTGCATGTGCGTGTGCATGTGCGTGTGGTGTGCGTGTGTGCATGCGTGTGTGGTGTGTGTGTGGTGTGCGTGTGTGTGCATATGGGTGTGGTGTGTGTGCATGTGTGTGTGGTGTGTGTGTGTGCATGTGCGTGTGGTGTGCATGTGCGTGTGGTGTGCATGTGGGTGTGGTGTGTGTGCATGTGCGTGTGGTGTGCGTGTACATGTGTGTGCATGTGGGTGTGGTGTGTGTGTGCATGTGCGTGTGGAGTGCATGTGTGCATATGGGTGTGGTGTGTGCGCATGTGCGTGTGGTGTGCATGTGGGTGTGGTGTGTGTGTGCATGTGGGTGTGGTGTGTGCATGTGCATGTGTGCGCATGTGTGTGTGCATGTGTGTGCACGTGTGTGCATGTGCGTGTGTGTGCATGTGCGTGTGCATGTGGGTGTGGTGTGTGTGCATGTGATGTGTGTGTGAATGTGCGTGTGGTGTGTGTGTGCATGTGTGTGTGCATGGGGTGTGTGTGCATGGGGTGTGTGTGCATGTGGTGTGCGTGTGCATGTGTGTGTGGTGTGTGTGTGCATGTGTATGTGGTGTGAGTGCATGTGCGTGTGGTGTGTGTGCATGTGTGTGTGGTATGCGTGTGGTGTGCGTGTGCATTGTGTGTGGTGTGGTGTGTGTGCACTGTGTGTGTGGTGTGTGTGTGCATGTGTGTGTGGTATGCGTGTGTGTGCACTGTGCATGTGTGTGCATTGCGTGTGGTGTGGTGTGTGTGTGCACTGTGTGGTGGGGGTGGAGAGGGTCTTCACCGTGAAGACACGGGTGACGCGGGTTGGGGGAAGGGGCCGCGCACAGGCCTTGCTGTGGGGGACACGGGACCCTTGGGGTACTATGTGTGGTGGGAGCCAACAGGCAGACCAGATCACCATGACTGTCTAGAAGGGTCTGACCTCGTCTCAGGACCGTGACCCGCCACCGTGGTCCGTCTGCGCCAAGCTGGCCCACAGCGGGGCAGGCGCTGCTGCGCAGAGCTGGGCGGGCGTCAGGCTGCGCTCAGCCTCCCCAGGACCAACACCCACGGGGTTCAAGCGTCCCAGCCCAGAACCACTGTTCTCGTCTGACCCTTCGGCGCACCCCCTTACTCCACACCTGACTGCGGGGGGTGGGGTGGGGGTGGGGGTGGCCACACCCCCTTACTCCACACCCGACTGCGGGGGTGGGG